GTGTCTTGCCCCATTGCATGACCGGGTAAATGCCCCTATCCTACACTCCTGTCACACAGTGTACCGCATAGCTGCATGAAGCCCCTCCAATGCCTTGTCCCACCCTCCGATTCAGGGATGGATGGCCACACTTGACATGGGAAGCTGGAACCGCGACAGTGGGGAAACCAGCTTGACGCCCCCCCCCCCCTCCCCAAACTCCACCCCTTGGGCCTCCTCGCGAACCTCGAAGCGCTGCGGCGATCTGCTCAGTGGTGTCTTCCCACTCACCATTACGATCGCATCCCACGCTCGCATGGGCGAGCCGCCGAACTTTTTATCCGAACAATGGGCCAGGCCAGCGAGGCTCAAGTGCGTACAGCCCTGCCAAGCCTCTTACATACACCCTACACCTCAACACTGTCCTTTGTCTCGAAGGCTCGACACCCATCGTCCGACGACTCGAGCGCATGACGCGTTCCCCAGCTCTCATCTTATTGCCTCCTGCTAATATCATGCTGCAGACGTCGTAAAGCCGACCTCCAAGGGCGTCCTACCTAGTCAACGCCGCGAGCGATCATGTCGGCGCCGCGATACAGCTCGGCCGGGCGCCAGGTCGGGTCACCCAAGCCGAAGACGCGAGGCGAGTCCTCCAGTACCCGCCGCACCCAGCCGCGAGCCGAATTGCTGATCGTGCCAGTCAATGCAGAGAGCAAAGACACGCTCTGCCGAAATGTCCTGATCTATGGCCACTGCCGATACGAGAACAGCGGTTGCGCATTTAATCACGACCAGAATAGAACCACAAACCAGAACGGACAATCGCCGCAAGGCCTACAATCAGAAGTGTAAGTCTAAGCTGCGCGTGATCACGACCTGTTCTCCTTCTCGATCAGCGTCTTGTCATGCTGCCAAAAACTTGACGGGAACTACCTCGAAACCTGGAACCGACCCGCCCTCCTCCAAATTGCACCCAGACCAGCGTCCCAAGCTCTTCACTTCAATACTCTCTGGGTTGGTATGACAGGGCTCAGACTGGAGTCATGCAGCCGATTTGGATCACTACCCAATGATGCCATTGTTCTGTCTCGCCAGGGACGACATCTCCGACCCTGAGGACCAGGCGCTGGGGCGATTGCTTTCAGAGTGCAATTTGGATTGACAAGTACAAACGAACCCGGGAATCCAAAGTTGCGGGCATTGCGTTGATCCATGCATCAACAGCCTATGAAAGCTCGTTCGTGCCCTCGACACGAACCCGGCCAGAAGGATTCGGGTGTGGGAGTCTTGCTGGACCTCGTGTGAAGCTGCCGTCGAGGAACAGCCAGATGGCATTTGTCTTGATCTCGCTCGCGCAGCCTTGAAACCTTGAGTGAAGGGATGAACTTCATATTGATCACCGGCTGACCGGATCAAAGCAGCGCGAAACGATTCAACGTCGACTCGCCGTCGTTCACCCCGACAACGTTGCAAGCCGCGCCCGGGTCGGCGACGACCACGCCTGTCAAGAAGTCTACTTTTTCGTCTCAAGCGGCGAGTGCGGCATCTTTTGTTCCCCGCGGAACAAGTAGTAAGTAATGGCTCGGTGTTAAAGCCAACCATGCCAGCGCAGGTCTTAAAAGTTTACTAGAAGCTGACGCAATCGCTTAACAGGCACCCCGTCTGCTGCGAAAGATACTGAAAGCTCTGCATCGCTTTTCAATCCTGCCAAGTTTCAAGAGTTCACGCCCCAGAACTTTGAGTTGAGCCCCAATGTAGGAATTTGTTGAAGTACAGGCAATTACTCGTACGTCGCTAACTTTGCGCAAGGTCAGCACCAATGGCGCTGCCAGTGATGCTGGCCTTACATTCGATGCCTTCTCCATGGCGAACCTCAACCAAGGGCTGCCTCAAACCCCATTCAACCCGTATGCGGAAGACCCAACAGCCCTTGCCTCCACTGGAGCATTCTTCCAACAGCAGAACCCCTTCGCGGCTCACACGCAACCAGTATGTCAAGCCTTGCTGGACATGTATCCTGCGTGACTGACAAGTCCCTCAGCTCCAGTACCACCTGTATGCTCCACTAGGGCAACATCGCGAGGGCCTCCTACCATACCAGAGGCAAACAAATGATTTCTTTCTGCCAGAGAAGATCCGCGAGGATGCTCAGCGAAAGCTAGAAGCTGCCCATCAAGTTATGAACAGTAAGCATCAAGACACTCCTGAGATCCGGGCTCTCCTAACACCGCGCAAGACACGGCACTTCCGAACATCGATCACTACTCTTCTCTGGTGCCCCTGGATACCAGCAACAGGGAGAGCTCAGTAATCTTTGGATACACCAGTTGGGTCTACAAGGCTACCTCGCAAGAAAATGGCAAGACGTACTTTTTACGGCGTATCAAGGGTTCGTGCACTCGCGCTACGTGGCCCAATACATGCTGACAGGTTCAGACTTTCGGCTATCGAACGAGCAAGCCATTCGTCTCGTCAAGGAGTGGAAGAAAGTCCACAACGGAAGTGTCGTCTCGGTGCACAGCGCATTCACGACGCGTAAATTCCAAGACAGCTCCATCATCTTTGTCTATGACTACCATCCTCTTTCGAAAACGCTGGCTCAGCATCATTTCCCGCAACAACAAACCAATAGATACAACACAAGGCCGACCGTCACTGAGGATGTAATGTGGAGCTACATCACCCAGCTTGCGAACGCCCTCCAGGCAATACATAAACTCAACCTTGCGGCGCGCTGCATCGACGCTAGCAAAATAATCCTGACGGAGAAAAACAGGATACGACTGAGTGCATGTTCCATTCTTGACGTCTTGCATTACGAAGTCCGGAGACCATTGGGAGAACTTCAACAAGAGGACTTGACCCAGGTCGGCAGGCTCATGATCTCCCTGGCCAGTAACACCCCGGCCAATTCCATTACGGCCAACAACGTCAACATTATCATGCAGCAGATGGGCAATATGTTTTCTGAGCCACTCGTCAATAGTCTGATGTGGCTTGTCTACCCCAGCCAAAATGGCGAGACTAAAACTATCGAGACATTCCTCTCCAAGATTTCAAGCCAAATTATGGCGAATTTGGATATGATGCTGCATCAAAATGATGCGCTGACGTCAAACCTGTACTCAGAGATTGAGAACGGCAGGCTCTTCCGCCTGCTGTGCCGATTGGGCACCATTAACGAGCGACAGGAGTTTGACGGAGACCGCCAGTGGTCGGAAAATGGCGAGCGTTACATGCTCAAACTGTTCCGAGACTACGTCTTCCACCAGGTCGACGCCAACGGTCAGCCGGTCGTGGATTTAGGACATATCGTTCGCTCCCTTAACAAACTGGACGCCGGCTCGGACGAAAAGATATG